TTTATCCTAGATGGTAGCTTTCCTCATTGTCCTCATTTCCTGGGTAATTTACCTGTCATTGTTCTACAAGGTGAATCTGAAGACTGCTTTGTTTACATGACACAGTCAGTTAGAGTGGATCCAATTTTAAATGGGTTTCTCCACTGCACACAACAGAAAGAGGACAGTGATTTATCATGTCTTCTTTGACCTGATGCGTTTACACTACTCAACAACTGCAACTGTGATCCTGACAACTCTGTAGGGCTTCCACGAATAAACTGAGTTTCAGAACAAAAAACAACTTCGAACTACCTAGAACTTTTGTATCACTGCTTCCTTTCATATGTTATCCCTCAGAAGGCTTAAATTAAAAACAAAAATTATTGGGACCAGCAGATGGCGTAATGGTTACGTAGCTGGATTCCCATGTAGTGGACTACAGTCTGAGTCCCAGACCTAAACAGCTTAACATTCACGCCAGGTGTGTGTGCATGCATGTCTGAAATCCCTAGAGGAGAATGGAGGAGAAGGGATAGCAGTGTGGCCATTCCCCCCCGTCCCCATAGGTGATTTCTTGCTTTCTTTCTCTGTCTTTTTCTGGCAAATACATGTGCCCTATGGCCAAAAAAAAAAAAAAAAAATTAATAAGTAATTTTGGATTTCGTTTTAGAAAGTCATGTATATGCACATCCCTAAGCCTTTTGATGTGTTTCTACCCTTTACTGTTGTCTTGTTTATCCAAAGGCAAAGACATTTAATGATGCAGTTACTCTGTATCTTGCCATGGATAAAATAGTTTACATAGCTTTTGAAAATCTACCTTCTAGACTCTGTTACTTCCTTTGAGGGCCTTGAATCGGTGAGCACAGTCCTAGAATGTTGAACTCCAGCTCTGTGAGCCGAGAGGAGCCAAGGCAGGTCTATTAATGAAGCCATGTGGAAGTTACTTCTGGATGGAAACAATAGATCGATAAAACATTCCGATGTTTTGTTTCTTAAATGAAATCAATCTGGATGGCTGATACTTTAGAACTTGGGCCCAAAATACACAAGCTGGCTGGAATCTATCTTCCAAATTAAAAACTTATTCTGGCTTAAATAGAAGTGGTAAGTTAGGAAATTCTATCCCATTTCCCTATCTTTGGCATTTAGGAAAGGTGGGTGAGCTAGTTTAAGCGTGGAACGTATAACGCCCATCCTAATATAATTTTGAAGTGTGCATGATCACATAGACAGTTCCAAATTATGATAAATGACAGAGTCAAAAATGAAGAAATAAAAGTTAAATGCAGTTGATTAGAGGTATGCCTTTTATACCTGGCCAATGCCTCATAGCCTTGGGGCAAGCTTGTATTTCCTGGCACAAACTAAAACATATTTCATAATTCTACTAAAAATTTAAAGAACATCTAATTACAAGGGCCATCAAGTGGCGTGGTTGAAGCACTGGATCTCCCACATGGCTGATCAAAGTTTGAGTCCGGACCTGGCAGCATGAAAAATCACATGGCTGTATGTGTGTGCGTGCCCAAAATCTGAAGAGGAGAATGAAGGAGAAAGGATTGTGGTGCAGCCATTCCCCCGGGGAGTGATTTCTCACTTTCCCTCTCTCTGCCTCTGTGTGTCTCTCTCTCTCCAGCAAGTACATGTGCTCTATGGCAAGAAATACATACATACATACAAGTATATACATATAATATACACATACATACACATATATAGTATAAAATATATAATATGTATGCATGCATATACTATATACATATATACATATATACAGATAGGGAAAGGGATGGAATTTCCTGACTTACCACTTCTATATAACATATACATACATACATAAAATATATTTATACATATAATATATAATATCTATTATGTATGCATATATGATATATTATAAAATATATCTATTATATATGCATGTATATTATGCATAATATAAAATATATTATAGATTTAAAATATATTTATATATGAAATACATGTATGTATATATTATATAATATATATTTAAAAATATATTTATATATAAATATATATTTTAAATCTATATATGTAAAAATACATAGATACATATAAATTAAATCTCTATATATAGATTTACAATCTAACTGGAGCATTTGTTTAGCCAGACTTTGATTACAAGTCCTTTTATGCCTGGACACATAGTCTCTAGTTTCCTCTTTATGTCCCTTTCGGTCTTTTGCTGGATCACTTACTAACAGCATGTGTCCTGTTACAAAAGTTTCCCTCTTTACTTTTCTTCCCTGCCAAAATTTGATATAAATTAAATATTGTTCTAAGAGTATGTGTAGTCTACAAAGAAAACACCACATTAAGAGATCTAGTAGAAAACAAAAAATGATAGATACTATCTATTGTACTTGGTTAGGATGTGGGAAGGAAAGGAATGTGAAAAAGAGAGGTTCCAAATCTGTCTTATTAAACATAAAGAAACAGACACTATGCCTGTGTGTTTCCCAGTCTCCTATATTTTACCCTTATTTCAAACCTTGAAGTTTCCATTTTAGACTTTTATCAGGAGTTGGATTAACCTTAACTGTAGCATCCACTGATTATCTGATAACTTCTTGAGCAAATGGTGGTGGAAAACCTGGGTATCCACCTGCAAAAAGATAGAACTGGAACCCTATCTCTCACTATTGACAAAAATCAAATCAAAATGGATCAAAGATCGGGAACCAGCAGTTAGTGTAATGGCTATGTCGCTGGACTTCCACGTAGTCGACCGCGGTTCGTGTCCCGGACCTGGTGGCTTAAAACTCACGCCGGGCGCGTGTGCATGCGTGCCCAAGATCCCGAGAGGAGAATGGAGGAGAAGGGATTGCGGCGTGGCCATCCCCCCTGGGGGGTGATTTCTCGCTTTCTGTCTCTATGTCTCTCTCTGTCTGTCTGGCGAGCGCACGCGCCCTACAGTGAAAATCTCTCCAAAAAAAAGAAAAAAAAAATGGATCAAAGATCTAAACCTAAGATCTTAAACCTTTTATACCTGGACACATAGTAGTCAAAGGTTAGGGTTCTCTGGGCATCTGCATCCGCAAATGAAGTTGTGGCAGTACCGACGTTGAGGTGGCTGCTGCCCTTGGGTCTCACCTTGATTTTCCTTATCCTCTGCACTGCCCCCCTCTCTGGGTGTCTTTGGCAAGGAGGGCCCCTGCGAATTGTGGTCTGTAACTCCGATACATACTCTGCTTCCCTGGTCTACCTTGTTCTCCTGCACCCTGGTTGTCAGCACCTTCCATCACTTCTCCCTGCACGGTGTTGGAATATTGTGGTCAATGCCCCTAGGGTTCCGCATGCAGTTAGGGAGGGGTGGGGATCTTCACCTGTGGTGGGGCCAGCGTTGTTGGGCCTGGCCTTCAGGAACGCTCTGTATCCCTTGTTCTTTTCCCCACTCTCACTATTCTGGTCATTCTGCTGGTAATTGCGTGGAGAACTACAACGTGGATAGCTATAATGGTTACAATCTGCTGCATGTTTACTGCCTTGAACTGGAACTCCACCAGGGCCTATAACAGCTGCTGCCTCCGGGCCCTTTTCTCGTTCAACAACATCAGACTCCACTGTATCTCCATCTCCTACCCTGCCAAGGTACTGCCGGGGGTTATTCTTTACGGCAGTCTGGTGTACAAATACATCTTTCTTGGCGTTATTCCTATTGATGAAACCATCTATGTTTCTTACATTGAACCATTTTACTGTTCCCGAAACCTTCGTTGAGAGGACCTTTTTGTAGAATATGCTCAATAAATACAGTATTTATTGAGGCAAGTTAAAGGATCATGGGGAGGGGAGAAGAGGTAAAGGTTTGAATGCAAGCTCATTGCCATGACATATTAGATATGTCCTCCAACTTTGTTACAAGTCATACCTGTCCAGGTTCCTAAAGACCTCTAGGTGGCTTGCCTAAGATACAGTGTCATGTCATACTTTGATGGCTTTACACACTTCGGATCCTCTGCTGGATAGATCCTTCTCCTGCTCATAATTCACATGGTGTAATCTTATGTACCATTCAAAAGCCTTCCTGGATGTAGACATCCCTAAGTTGGTGTTAATCACTCCTCCCTTTATGCTACCTATACCTTGTACATACATGGGCCAATTTTTCCTTTTTTTTTTTTTTTCTATTTTACTGTTAGAGGTATCATTTTGAGGTTTACACATGAGCTCTTTATAGGAAGAGACAGTGGCTTCAACATCTCTGCATTGCTCTACTGGAGAGTATGCAGCAGACATTAATCCACATTCCTTGTTCATACTGAGTACCATTCTAGGCACTGAGAATACAACAGTCACAACTATTAAAAATCCTTTCCTCATAGAGTTTGTTCTAGTTGTGAGGAAATTACCAACAACCAAAATCATAAATAAATTACATAAAAGAACACTCAGAAAAACGTAAGGGAAGGGCAAGAGAGAATGTTTGTATGTGTGCAGATGTGTATGCATATGTCAAAGGGAGTATCTGAGGGAGAAGTGCTCCTAGAAAAGGAAAACACAAAGGTCTTGAGGTTGGCCTGGGTCTATCTGGAATACTCACACAACAGGAAGGAAGGAAGTGTGGCAGGAGCAGAACAAACAAGGCTGAAAGTAGTAAGAGAGAAATGTTCTAAGTAAGGGAGGATGTGGAAGGTTAGACCATGGCGGGGGGGTCATATGCGAAGACAGTACAAACTCTTCTAGAAGATCTGAAAAGGGAATAGAAAGGGGTATTTGGTGTGAAGGCTGGGCAGCAACAAGGATTTGGCTGGTTGTGAACTGAGGATGAGACTGGTGGCCAATGTACAGAAACTACGTTCTCAAGGGTCTAGGATGTGCAAACCATGTAGGACCAACGTTTAGTGAATGAAATTGAATTGAATGAAACTTATATTCTGTCACCATAATAGATATCAGAGGATAGTTTACTCTTAGAATTACATGCCTGTCCCACCAGAGTTTTATCACCTTCAAGACAAAGTCCACAAAATCCAGGATCCTGAAATACTTACCGCCCTTCGAATCTGTGTTTTAAAAAATCAAACAGTGCTTTCTGCATCATATCTGTGACCTGTAATTGAGCAAGCAGTAAATAAAGGTACAGTAAAAAAATATTACTATGACAAAATAATTTTACTCTTTTAGAAATGCTTCGAAACCTAGGCCTCCCATTTGGAAAAAGTGGCACAGGAAGGTTGCTACATTTTTCTTTTTGAGTTCTGATACAATGACAATGAAGAAGACAAAGTTCCCTGACCTTATCTTGATGTTTTAGTGACAATAAATTACAGCACGAGTGGTTTCAGTTACTCTCGATTTGGGACTATTTTCTGGAATAGCTAAATGGTAGCTAGCAATAGGCAGGGAAGCCAAACAGAAGAAATGGGTAAGCAATGTAGACCATGGCTTGAAAAACAGCTAGCTTTGCTGCTAGGAGCTCTTCAAAGTCTAAAATCTAGAGTCAAGGGAAAGAGAGGAGGAGCAGCAAGGCGGTTCAACGTGAGAAGGTCCAATACACTACAGAGGACGGCTACTCACCTCGTACCCCTTCAGAGAAGGCCCCACTAGGACCACTGGTCGCATGGAAGGTACCACATCATATGGAGGCGTGTGCTCTGTCTGCAGAGAGAGGAGAGGCTTTCAGGCGTTTCACAGGCAGGCGGAACTGAAGTAGGTCATGTATAAAATGTTTTTGCTGGACTCCATAATACAAGGCACTACTTTTTCAGACATTTAATTTTTCTTTGTCCTTGCCTCTTTTCTAAGTAAACCCAAAGCTGAGCAGGTTTACTTTTCCTAAGGTTTTCAAGTAACTGAATTGTCTATGGTTTTCCTACTCTTCTCAAGAAATGCTACTGGCATATTAATCTAAAGCAGAAGATGCTGCTTTTGAGTGAAAACTACTTGGTAAAACAAACAGAAGCATGCCTCATGCAGAAGAGGTGCTTCAGGCTGGACTGAAAGTTAATAATTGCTTTTCAGGTGCATTTGCACTTTCTGAAGCATTTACATAATCAGACCTAACACGGATAATTATGGAGGAAAGATTTCATTATCTTTGCATCTTACATGTTTGTCTTACCTGCATAAAACCTAATTTCACAACACTGTAAAACTGTCACTACTGAATACTTGAAACATTCTACTTAATTGTGAGTTTGGCCTGCTTCCTCTAGTCAACAGTAATATGATCCCTGCTCACGGTTCAGTGATTATGATGTTGGGTTTTTTTCTTGGTTTGTATATCTCAGTACCTAAAAAATTAAAATAAAAGGCTCATGTCTTTAGAGCAAAGGTGGTTAATGTGTAACAGTATATTCCACCATGCTTCCATGGCCTCAATGCTTACATATCTACTATGTTTCTCAGAAACAGTTTAAGTAGTATACCTGTTACATAACTAATTTGTGTCTTTCTGGAGCAATTTATTTCTTTTTTAGAAGAGGAGCGGGACCAGCAGTTAGCGTAATGGCTGCGTCACGCTCCCATGAACTCCCATGTAGCTGACCGCTGTTCGAGTCCAGACTTGGTGGCTTAAACTCACGCCAGGCATGCACGTGTGCATGCGTGCCCTGTGGCCATCCCCCCTGGGGGGTGATTTCTTGTTTTCTGTCTCTCTGTCTCTCTGGTGAGTGCACGTGTCCTATAGCAAAAACCTCTGAAAAAAAAAAAAAGAGGAGCTAAATTTTGTAGCAACTTCTAAAACTACTGAAACTTCAGCTTAATTGTTTCAATTAAAATGATTAAAATAAAAAATTTCCGAAAAAACTAGATTAAAAACTCATTTGTTGTGTTATACTAAAATCAGTTTCCTGATACCAGAAAATATTGGCTTCAAAATGACTCTTTTAAAAGGCAAAAGATAGGTATGTTGTCCTCAAACACTATTAACATAGAATAAGCAAGTCATTTTTATCTGACTCTTGCTGTATTCAGGAATGTCTGAATCACATTCAACAAATGAAAATGTTTTTTAAGTCCATTTTAAGAATTTGATAAATAGATGTGCAAATATAAATGGAATTTTTGTATCAGTCTATCACTCTAGGACATTTTATTGTTGTTTAAGATTTCTCATTAATGAACTTTCTGGCTTCCTTTGAATTTATGCTGCTTACGAAGAGAATTAAATTTACCAGCAGTCACAGACGATATACAGAGGGGAGAACAAACACAACTGTGACTGTGCTGTCAAATATTCCGGCTTCGAATTTTACCGAGCATTCAGAGTTAACTTTCATCGACATAGCAAAAGGTAGAATACATTTATGAACAGAAAAATAAAAACGAGACAAACATAATACAGTGACAGCACGAAGGCCACACAAGCACCACTCTAAAAGCAACCTAAAACGTGGAAAACCGTCTTATTGCTCAATCTCAGGACCGTTTTGTTCCTGAATGCCACACTGAAGTTTACCACACGACTGATAACATAAGAAGAATGAATACCAGTGCCGAAGGCATCATAAGCATATTTATTAAATGATGACGTAATACCATCTGGGATCATACTGAAAATGTTTAGAAGCCACCTTCTTAGAACTCTGCAATATAACACCTTTTCCACCACTGTAATTAGGCATGGGAATTGCATGCATTTTATAACAGCTACCAAGAGATAGTTCTTTAAGTTGTTAAGTATTAAATAGCCCAATATTTGATGGGACTTGGGTTCCTTTGATCTGTGCCTTCCAGCTAGCATTGATTACCCATGCAGGTAATCAATCAGCTTCTTAATCAATAAGGTAGCTACAGAAATTACCTTATTTGATGGAATATTGGTACTTGGTGCCATATTGATAATGACACAATTGTTTTTAGCTGTCCTTCCTTGTTCATCCTATTTTGTTTGAATGGTTTAATGTAAATACTGTCATAAACATTTTTGAAGTAGTGGAATTCAAGCGTAAGGAAATTTCCAAAAATGACTTTGACTAATACAACTCTAGTTCACGTTCTTGTTCTGTGAAACACTGAGTAACTCTGCAGTGTTGACTTTCTAAGGATACTGCCAGTCATGGCTGTGATGAGAAGACAGGACCAGAGAGAAGGGTTCACAGTTGAGGATCAACAGAAAGCTGGGGTCTCTGTGTTAACATGTGTTTTAATTTTTGCCTGGAGTGCTGAGAGCTTCCCTTGTGAAATTAATGATAATATATTTTAAAAACGCTTTACAGTTCAATATCTGACACCTCATTCATGACTTTTAAGTTTCTTCCACAGAGCAAAATACTTGTTTGTAGAGGAGAAGAGTTCAGTTCTATTAAGAGTCTGGGGCACAGGGTGGACGTCATTACGCATCTGTGTGTCAGAATGTACCCACGCTTGTGCCAGCCTTGCTGATATCAGGAAGTATGACTCTAAAAGACAGCATAACAACTGTGGGAAAAGATATGTAAAAGAAGAGGGGGAAATGGAAATTGGAGGGGGGTTACAGGAGTCCTTAAAAAATCTTTGAAGCTACAAAATGTGTTGAGAGAAAGCAGACGGAGTGGAGAGAACTCTGGAACACCCTGTGGTTTCCAACTGGGAACAAATAGCATCCTTGCATATGTTGCATCTAGGTTGGCCAATGCAAAGGCTCTACACATGGCCACCAGCCCCACTGTCCAACAGGTGAGAGGCTGACTGATGGAGAAGGCAAGAACATGGGGAGAGTATTTATATATGACAATAGGAAAAACTCACAGTAAACCGCCAAAACAAGCCTGCAGTTTTCCACTGGTCTTGCTCATCTGCAGATTTTGCACCTAGTGGATTAGAAGTTTAAATACTGACTAAATTAAGGATTGAATACTTTTTTTTTTTAGTACAAGTTATGTATCTGGATATCATAAATCAGAATCTACTAACTGCTTTAATATGCTTGATTATAAGTTAAATTTCTGGAAAAAAAGAAAGAGACAAGAGACAGACAGAATAAGCATGCACAATTGAGGTGCATTATATGGAGACGTCAGTGTTTGACATCCTTGAATGTTTAAACGAATTCCCTTGGTGGCAGCTATTATTCCATCAAAAAGGATAAGTACTGTAATGGTGTTTTAACAGGTCACTCTCTGAATTTAGTTGGTTTGAAATGCATGGACTCGATTAGCTGTTGATAGGTTCTTTTCTTAGGATACAAATGATCGGATTTAATAAAACTGAGGGAATTAATGCTAATGATGCCAGTGGCAGGATAAACACAGCTTATGTCAATGTAAACTTACCGATTTCTGCTTCTGCTTAGCTACAGCAGCATGGAAAAGAAACAAAGAATAACAGAGCATGCATGTTATTGGCTTGTCAAAAGACGCAGACAGTCACCAGGACTAGAAATGTGACGCAGTGCAGTCGAGCAGGTGGACAACGGGAGCTCGGAAGTTAAGGTTACCTTCTTAAAGAAGGGCATTCTTTTCTCTTTGGAGTGGGGTGACGTTACACTGTTTGCACTGGGTTTAGGGGAGCGGTGGTTTGCTGGAATATCATTTTCTTCTGCATCTAAGCCAGTAGCATCTATGTCTATAGCTATATACAGACAAACAATTCAAAAATCATCAGGTGGACAGGAGAGGAAAAAACAAGTTACCAAAGGAAATAAAATGAAAGCAAATAAAAATTAACTGTAGTAAAGGAGTTTTCATGAGAGCTCAACATAGTACACAGTACAAAGAAAGTAAATTTCCAGGGGAAGCCTGTTACGAATGCGATATAATCAGATGTGACAAAATTGAAAGTTACCCTCATAATATCTGTTTGCGTGAATAAATCCACTTCATAGTAGCTCTTTGGAATTATATTTTTAGAGAAACATTTTTAATTTGTAGTTTCAAATGGAGACGATCTCCAGATCAATTGCATGTAAGTACAGGACAGAACATTTGGCTTGACTTCTTATATTAACCCAGCTTTCAGATAACGAGCAATTATGTTGGAAACCTTTATCATGATGTGCCTCCTAGTTCTCATTTTGTTTGATTTTGTGTTAAAGTTACAGCAAGGTGAAAAGGTTCACCAAAATTGTAACAGGCATTTAAAGGAAAGAGAATAGAAAGTCTTCAATCCAGGCAACACAGGAGAATCAAACACAAGGCAAATGATTCAGGGAAGGTTCTGGCATGGACAGGATTAAAATAGTTTTGAGACAATATGTGCACCCTCAGCCAGGCCTGATTAAAGACTAATTGGAACACATTGAGGTTGATGATATCTATATAAAATTAATTTAATAAAGTGACATAAGAAGACGTCTGATGAATTATTAAAGCCACAGGACTCCACATCAGAGGCAGGGCAGAGGGCACAAAATCCCAAGAGAATAGGTTACCAGTTTCTTCTTCTGGAAAATAAAGGGTTAATTTTGTTGGTCAATATGCTCTCACTTGGCAAATCTTTGAACCTGAAAATATCGCACTTAAAATTGTTGTTTAAAAACGTATAATCTCACTTCAAAGTTTTTCAACTACTTCCACATGTAATGACTGTAGAATTTCATCCATTGCAGGATCAGAGCTGGAAGTATTTTAGAGATCAATTTCAAATCTCTTGTTTTTAAGATTTAAAACACAAACTCATAGAATTTAAGGGGTGAAAACCCAGCACAGTGAGGAATTAGAATCTAGTTCCCCTGCTTTAGGAAGCCAGGACCCACCTGGGTACACCCATTCCACTGAGGCCCCTTTCAATCTTGGTGTATTCTCTCAGGCCTCTTTGCTTGCCCAGTGGATAAGGTCCTTGATGTCGGAATACCAGAGAATATCCTAGACTGAGCTCGCTAGAAAATTATTTCATGACTGATATTAAATCCAAGTGAAGAAAAGGAGAAGTTTTACTCACCCCAGGAAAGCATCAGGTTATATATGTTAGCTCTTTAACAAGAACCACATACCTTTGGACTGAGGAACACATTACCACTTCTAAATCATAACGCAGCTTAGTGTTACAATATGGCAACCGTGCCCTGTGACACATGCTGAACAGTGGCTCACAATCACCTCTGCTAACCATTTTAGGGGAGACGAGATCATCTGACAGGTATCACATTCTTTTTCAATTTTGAGGTATGAAGAGAATATTAGATGATTTGCCCTTTGGAAACTAGGTTCTCCTTTTCATTTGATTGGGGTAAAACCTGCAATGGAGCAAATACCTGGCACCATTTGCACAATATTGCAAATATCAACTACTGCTTGCATAAGAGATGAGGTATGGATTTTCTACCACGTGAAGGTGATCAGGGACTGAACTAATTCCAGGTATTTAGGTAGGCTTACCTAGTAAAGCTCTTCCTCTTTGCCTCACCTATACATATCGAAGAATTTAAAGGTTGCTTGTGTGACATACAGAGGAGACAGATCACATGCCCAGGGGTTTGAACCAGCATGACTTTTATGCCACCCTACGGCTAAACCCTTGCTTATATAGGAAAGTTTCTTTATGGGGCTTACTGAATATGCATGGGAAGGATCTGAAAGAAGGTCTTGTTGAATAGTTCTCCATTCTCAACTCAGCACGTTGTTGCTGCCTTCCTGGATGTGAAGAAGACTCGGGGCAGTATTTTATCACCTCTACAATGTCTTAATCAACATCAAATAAGTTTCCTTGATGGTAAGAAATTCTCATATACTTTATCATTTTTCTACTTTTAATCTTTGTTTATTGGGAGGTTGGAAGTCATGATGTATTTTTCTATGCAAAAATATTTGGCTTATAAAGGCTACATTCAAGAGATAGCACCTCAAGAACCTTTCTGAAATTGAGGACACACAGTTGGATGTCCAGGTTGACAGTATCCTGGAATGGTGAAGTTTATGATCTGCATTTATTTTCCCATAGAGTCTGGTCTGCTGTGATCATCAGATGTGATCATCCTTAAAAGGAAGAGTGGAAATGCATAAATGTTTAGCTATGACATTGCCTGGATGTTTGGGTACCTACACACATGGTCTGAGTCAGCTTTGAAATTTACTTGTATTTAGACATAAAGGCTCAAAACTCCAAATTGAGAATTTTTCAACTTACTATTGGGTTGTCAGAAAAGTCATGACACAGTTTTCCATAGGAAAACATTAATAAAAAAAGTCATGACTTTTCTGATGACCCAATAGTTCCAACTTTCTAGTTAACTTAAGTCTAAAGTATCTGGGTTGATTCTGAAACAGAGTTCTAAAACATCTGAGCACTTTCAGAACACATTAAAGAAACTTGCCAAGACAGTTAAGAAACATTTTCAACTTTTTTTCACAGTTCTATACACTTTATTAGACTCAGGGGTAAGTTACTGAAAGATGTTACCCCTTTTTAATTTTGTACTTGTATTTCCATATGTTGGCAAACATTAGTATTTTCTTGGGAAACCTGCTTACATGTATTTGAAAGTTTCTTTCATTCTTCCTCACTAGTCTACATGTATTTTATTTATTTTTTGGTAGAAAGTGTTGAGAATATTTTAAAAATTTAATTAAAATTTTTTTTTTTAATTTAGAGCTAGCTTTTCTGTTTAATTGTTGTTAGCAAGCTTGAAATAAGACAATGGATGTCTTTTCCTGGTTGTTTCTCTATTTTGTTTTTAGAATAAAAATTACTTTCGTGCTATAAGTATTATTAAAGAATACTGTTTAGAAATAAGTTTATGCATGGGACATGTGATATCATTTTGCTCTACATGTCAGCATCACCAATACTTTTCCACTTTGATTTTATAATCTTTTAAGATGCTAAAATATGTGTATATTAAAAAATATTTTGAAAATGGAGTAGCATGCGTATGTATTTATGCTCATATATTCTTTTATATTTTAATTTCTTTTATACATTCAATAATCTTAGAGCTTGGGTAAAGCTCAGGAGAATTCTGGAACAACATGTGTACACACATGTACAGGTATAGGGTGTGTTGCACAACTGTTATCCCTTTACTCAGTTGTGAAATAGATATTTTTCCTTTTCCAAGTCTCTGAGAAAATCCAAGCATATTTACTTTAGGTAGGTCTAGCCAACGGTGGGAGAATTATAGAGTTTCCAGAAAACAAAGAAGATAAAAATTGTAATTGCAGGTCTATCTGCACCTGAGAGTTGAGGCACATGTTCCTGGAGGTGATTGTGGGAACTTCTCTCTAGAATTTTCTGAAGCTTCCTTAAGAAAGACTGAACTGTTAATATGAAAACATTGCGGAGGCCTGATGTGTTTATTACACATTTTGTAGTTAGTTACATCTCCAGTCCATTCAGCCACAAGTGTTTTCTATAGTTGGTGCTCAGAAAAGATATTCTGAAGTCCTGTATCTGCATAAAACTTTGCAGAAGTTTCAAATCATATAAATTATATGTATATGTGTGTGTATGTATATATATATATATGTGTGTGTGTGTGTGTGTGTGTGTGTATACACACACTTGATCTTCTCTCTCTATATATATATGTGTGTACATGTACATACACTTATATACATATACTTAACCTTAACTTTTCATAGAACTTTATTTTTAATAATGACAAACATCTGGTTATAAAACAAAATGTTATTTTACATATACAGATAACTGATTCTTCAAAATGTGCCTCCTCTCATAATACTGAAAAAAACAAGTAGAAGGCTACATTACAGGTAAAGGGAGAAGAACTGCTCCACTTCTGTGGCTTCTTCTCATTGGATGGGATTGCTGCTTTATCACAATGTGATGGAGCAGTTTGCCATGTTAGGAGGCTCAAACAGTCCTCCAGGGTCTCTGAGGCAGCATTTAAGCTTTACAAAAGAGAATGAGGTGTATATAGAAACCGCTCCAATTTCACATTTGAGAAGAAGCAGAGTAAGACACATCTTCCCGTGCACTCAGGGAACAGGTGCTCCTTGATAATCAAGGGAAGATACAAGCCAAACATAACAGCTATGAGTGCTCAAATTTTCACTTCAAACACATTCTTTTACTTAATTTTGAGCAATTTAGGATTGCTGCAAGTTATAAGGTCATAGCTTTTGAGATGGATATGTATCATAAAACAATTTATTTCCTATTGTGCTCAGATTTGTACACTTGTAAAAGTCCCTGATTAGTCTTTAAAAGCTGCCAACATTCAGGAACAAGAAAGATATGATCAGTAATGGGAGACAGTCGTGTTCTTATGATAAACCAGTCGCAGTGAGACTCATTCCTTAATTTCTCCATGATGCATGATTCTGGTTTTTGATCTTATCTCATTTCTAGCTTCCTAGCAATCACATTTAGAATCATTTTGCCCAAATGCTCATGCAGCCAACACTGACAGTCTTGCTCTGGCATATGCCTTAACAATCTAAGACCCTGACTTGGTTTTCATGCAATTCAACCAATTAATCTTCTATTTAGTGTCCAGAACTCCAAGTTCTACATGGTACAGTAGAGTTGCCAGATTTAGCAAATAAGAATGCAATTAAGGGTCAGCAGGTGGTTTAGTGGTTAAGGTGCTGGATTGTCATGTGGTTGACCGCAGTTCCAATCCTGGACCTGGTAACTTAAAACTCATGCTGGGAGCGTGTGTGTGAGCCCAAAATCTCAAGAGGAGAATGGAGAAGGGCTTGTGGCATGGCCATCTCCCTTGGGAGGTGATTTCTTGCTCTCTGTCTCTCTGTCTCTCTCTGTTTCCTGGCAAGTGCAGGCACCCTATAACAAGAAAATCTCTTAAAAAAAAAAAAAGACCAATGCAGTTAATTTAAATTCCAGGTAACAACATAATTTTTAGTATTAATGTGTCCTGAAATTTTTAGAGTATGAATGCTCACACAATATATACTTTTACTAAAAAAAAAAAAAAAAAAAAAAAAAGAAAAAAGTCACTCATTGTTTATATTAAATTCAAATTTAATCGAGTGTCTTTTATATTAGCTGGCAACCCTAAGAATGAACCCACTGCTTTGGAAAGAGAGAAGTCACTCTTCCCCCGAGTGTTTTCATCTTTGGCTGATTCTGCCGTACATTGTCTATGTCTTCCACAAAGCCTTCCTGGTATAGCTCATGGCAGGTCAGTTACCCCATCTTAATTTTCCTCTCTATTCCTCGCTTTTCTAATTTTTTTAGTCATCTTCTCTTTTTATGTAACATTGAAGCTTACACCTCACATGGCACTGTGGCTATTGATGGGCATTTATACCCATGTTGCACAAGACGATGTGCTGAGCACCACGGTGAGAACTGGGAATGAGATTTAAATGCATTGACCACTTTGACCATCTTCAGCACCTTCAACACAAACATAGAGTAAACACACTGACATACTTCCCTTCTTTATGGTATTCCTAATTATGAAGGGAATTATTTCTGATTTCTTTTAACATTTGCAGGGTTAACACAGTGATTCAATGTATGTAAAAATCACAAAACTAGGTAAGACTGGGAAATGCAGTATGGACCACTCAGAGCTTGTTACCTACTTACCCGATGAGGGAGGTGTAGATTTTCTGGAACTAGGTACTATGTCACCCAAACTGGATGATGAATTTCCTCCTGATTTACTGGAGTAAAGCAAAAATTTTGATTAAGTCTGATACATAGTTTAGATCCTAAAACATCCGTATTGCTCAATAAAAATAATTCATGTGTCTCTGTTGAACCGAAAATGTATCTTTCCTGCATGGAAGCAAACAGTAATTTTCCAGTGGAGATTTCTGGGGTACTTGAAACAGCTATGTAATAGTCTCTGTTTTTAAATTCAACATTTAAATTTTCAAAGCCCTGAGAGAATGGAAAAGAACTAGGGTAATTTCTGCAGCTCTCAATTCTCTGCTCAGATCACAGAGAGCTAAACAGCAGAGATTTCCTTTGCATTTCATTTTAGAGATCTTCAGAGGCAATGCATAAAACCCTACGGCTAGCACCCAAACCTAGTATTTCCTTCTCTTTTCGTTCCAGTTCCTGTAATTCTAATATACTAAGACTGAAAATGCTCAAATCTTCATGGGCAACCTACATAAGATTAACACAACTAATAAACAAAACTTGATAACCTTTAAAAATACATAAAGCAACATGACAAAGTACTAATGATCTAACCATCGGATAGTACCTGGAACATTTCCCAAGCTTGACAAACATAGGACATTACACTTGATCAATCTGGAATGAACCGAAGAGCATGTACTTCAGAACTACCAGATTTATGTGCTTCAGTGTCTTAGAAATGTTGGAGATAATATCAGAACAGCATTTATTTATTTATGCATACATATATAGGTACACACATACATATGAGTACACCAGTATGCTAAATGATGTGTCACTGAAAGGTCTCCTCACAGATGAAGATGTCAAGGAACATCTTCAAAGAGCAACATAGAATGTGGGCACAGTGATCTCACTGCCTAATGTTTGTTATCAGGACTGAGCCAGGGTCTAGCTGAAAGAATTAGCTGCAGTGTCTATATATCGAAGCATAACAGTTTCACTTATCTTAATATGAAAATGTAAGTCCTACTAAAGTATCATGCTAAATGTTGATGCTAATATTCTAACATTACAATGCCTAAAACAGCAACAATTTTATTAAGCTATTAGTAGGAGAGCTCCTTATATTTTTAGAGTTCTTAAGCAATATGCTAGTATACTAAATATGGATCAGGTAGTATGTAAAATGAATAAAAAGCGGTATTTATAAAAGTAATTTCTGGTAATTTTGCAGTGACAGTTATTATCAGAACTAAATTTTTTTTCCACAAGTTTGTTTGTCACTTTTCTAAATAAGTCCAAGTTCAGTTCAAGCATGGAGTTGTTTTATCTTCTCTTTGAATTTTCAAGACAGTGAAATATTATTTGCATTGGCTAAGAGTGTGACAAATATTGTTCGTACTTAAAATGTTCAGGATACAGATTTGCTCTTATATTTTAATTCTATAAAAATGTCAAGTTCTTGAACAGTGCCCCAATTCTACTGTCTTTGATTTCTATCAATTTTTATAATTTATGTATCGGCATTTTAAAACACTGTCAGAATCTGGTTATGTTCTCAGAATAAAATCACATTTAACATGTTCAGAGACAAATATAAAACCTGTGCATTCAGTCTTGGGTAAAGAGACTACAGAATAAAATCAAAAGGACCAAAGAAGTTATGTAGCTAATATGAAAAGGTTATTCGGTTCCCTAGAAAACGTTACGAGATGTTGCACTCCTCAAATACAGATCATTTAGAGTCTTCTAAGGAGAAACTACAATGGTGGAACAATGCATATAGTAAGGCAAATGGTAACAGCTGGCGATAATTAGTTCTATGCTTGCTGCACCAGGCCCTGGTGCCCTGATTGGTAGTACAGCTTGGTACTCTGCCCACAGACAGCTACCATCCTGATTTGGTCACTTCCCTGGTATGTGACCTTCCTCAAGTTACCTAGTTCCTCTTAGCCTGTTTCCTTTTCTGTTTCCTTTCCTGTGATCTACAGTTTCCACAGGTCCTTATAAAGCTGGTCTGAGCACTAAGTTAGACCAGGCTGTCCTGCTGGGAGGCAGACAAGACTGCACCCCCCTCGCAATTTCGACCAAGATTTATATTCCTTTCTGGCTCCTTTAAAATTAGTTTTCCTTTTCTACTTCTTCAGGATTAGCTTTCGGTTTGCACATGAAGAAGCAGAGATAGATACACAGTTTGCCTCTGCAAAAGTCCATTTAAAAATTCTTGAAATGCATTTTATAAAACAGTGTTCCTAAGATAGGAACCAACAAAAGTTTTCATGAGAAAGTAATTTTAGTAAATACATGAAAAATATTTTCATTCCACCACACGGATTCTCAGTGTACACTAATATATTAAAGGCTCTGGAAAAATCCTAAAATAACTTTCTATTAGCTAGGACTGAAAAATATCTAACCATGAGACCCCTTTCTCAAGTGATTGGACAAGAAAATTCTGGAAAATGCTCAATTTCCCTTACAAACTGAAAACAAAACATTAAGTCTCCCAGCCAAAATAACTTTAAACCTCAACAAACTAGATGTTACCTAGTTGATGGGCAGCATTGTCTGTTCCCTTTGAAAATTAAATTTTTCCATATTATAAGATTTTATCAACTAGTCTTAAAATACCATTAGCAGCCCACCACTCTGTCAAGCCAAGGTAACACTAGAGACTGAAAAAAATAGTATCAAGTCTTCAAAAACCCTCCAATCAAAATATACATGCATCGTTTATTTACATGCCCTTATTTTCATATGACTAAATGCATCTCACATCCAAGCACTCCCAAGAACTCGGTAATTAGTGCCAGTCGACTCTGGAGTAGAAATCTCAAAACCCAGAAGAGTCCATCTGAACTAAATCGATTCGACAACTATAAAATGCTAGTTAATGATGATGGGTTCCAAACCACAAGATATGTTTGATTTCAGGTGTCTGCTGACACTCGAAAACATTCTCGCTAACATTAAAATAGTATCCCCAATGAAGGAATTTGCATAATAATATAAATGCATATGGTATAAGCCAGGAGAAAAAAGAACCTGGCTGTCCATATTAAAGCGACGTCTTGGCCACATCGAACCCTTTCACGTAGGGAGAAGCATGCGGTGTTTTTGGACTTGCCCACGGAGGGTTCACTCTAAAATTCACTACACGTCTGCAGAGACCTCCAGTGGTCCCTTTTAATGAGGGACAAATAACTGCAAGAATCCTAGGAAATACCATTCAGCCCCAGCCTTTTACATAACTCACCTAGTTACTATCTGCAAAGGCAATTTCAACTTGTTTCATACTTAATTTCCCTTTAAGTACTTAACAGTGGGTAGAACTGAAAATTGAATTTCACAGGTGAAAATGAAACTAGCAGGCGACCAGAGCTGCTATTTGCCAATGATGTCTGAGACCAGCATCTCTAAAACACCTCCCTGCCAGGCCGGGCAGCTACAGCCATAGGGATTAGTCACACAGCTGCTCAATGCCAGAGTATTTTCAGTAAATGATTAGGACTTCTGAATCCCCTCTGCTCTGAAGCCTTTCATAATCTTGGACCTTAGCTATGTTCATTAATCATTACAATTACTTTGATTCTCTCCCAAATAAGATGACAACTGAATTCTGAGACGAACTTTACAAAATGCAACGTTTGTGATGCTATCAAGAAACGGTATCACTCATCCACCTTTTAAAACATAACACAGGTTGTAAAATGCATCTGCCAAGAGCACATGGATGACGGTGTAACCTGACCTTTGACACGAATGCTCGGCGCTGTTCTCATACCTGGAGTAGAATTTCCCTTGCTTGGCTCTCTGCTCATGCTGCAGCCTCATGTTTTCTAGTTTGACTGGGCTTGGGATGAATCCGATTTCACAGCCTTCTTTAACCAATCGCCCTATCCACCAGTCATTGTTAAATTTCTAAATGCAAAATCAAAAGTATTAAAATCAGTGCAGGGAACTTCAAATCACTGAATTATTTTTCTTCTACATTAGCAATTTTCAGCAGAGAAAAATGTGGCAATTATATTTAAACGAAACCTCAAATACCACGGTACAAGAAACCCTTTGGTTCATGAGTTTTCACACATAAGAGGGAAGTATTTTTGGTGCATTCAGCAACTTCATCAGAGGCTTTAGGTGTCCTTCTCTTTCCTAATGCTGCCTTAGGAGCAGGCTGAATTCTGTCACAGCTGTTAATATCCCTAGAAGTAGGACAAGTTCTGCAGGTTCAAAAGCTTTTGCAAGCCCTTCCTACCAAGAAACCATCAGGAAATAAGAAATTACAGAGATCTTCTTGTCAGAATTAATTATACGTTTTAAGAATGAGAAGTAGGGCCAGCCATTGGCATGGTGGTTACTAAGGCTGGATCCCACATGACTGATTGCACGGTTCAAGTCCTGGACCTGGAAGCTTGAAAAACAGTTGGGTGCATGTGTGTGCATACACAAAATCCTGACAGGAGGAAGAAATAGAGAAGAGATTGCAGTTGACTATCCCCATGGAGGAAAGAAATGCTTCCTCACTTTCCCTCTATCTGTCTGTCTTCAGTGAGTTCACACACCCTCTGGCAAAAATAAAAAACAAAAAAAGGGAGAAATAAGTATTGAAATCTATCTGAAATATTTTGCATCACAGAAAAAAAGCCATATTTATACAATATGACATTCATAGATGATTTATGTTGATGTTGACAATTTATTTCTTGCAGGAAGAATATCTGTCTTGAATCTTTATGAATTGGTTCCATTTTCTTCAACTCAGTAAGTCTAATCTTTGAATCCTTTGATAAAAGAATATCCACTCTGATTTTCATTTCCTTCCATGATAGAAACAGATTCTCTAAGCATCCTTCATGCAGTGACCCTGTATCAATCTAACTTCCTGTTGCAAGTGAAATTCCAGGCATGCCATTACTAGTAGAAACTTTTTCTATCTTTCCTATCTAGTCAATAGTTTGCATCTCTTTCTATGAGTTATCAAAATGATATGCTCTAAATTCTCCAGGTTCTTTTTCAAAATTTTGCCAGAGGACATGCAAGAGAGAGAGAGAGAAAGAGAGAAGAGAGAGACAGAAAGAGAGACAGAGAGAGAGCAAGCACATCCCATGGAGAATGGTCATGCCGCAATTCCTTCTCCATTTCTCCCTCCTGTCAGGATTTTGGGCACACAAATACACGTGTCCAATAGTGTTTCTCAGGCTGCCAGGTCCAAGATTCACACCATGCAATCAGCCTTGTGGGATCCCACACCTGAACCACTACACTCCAGGCTGGCCCCAGGCTCACTTAATTAGCAGTCATCACCTGCTCTGCTAACAGTCCTTAGCGATCAGGTAAATTCAAATACGCTCCCTAAGACAATTGACCCCCTACATGGAGTGCTCCAGCTGTAAAGTTCACCAGAGCTGAGAAAATCTCATGCTCACACCCGGAAAATATTATGGAGGGTGAATTTCTGGTCAATTAAAACAGTGTTCTGGACCTGATAAAGGTTGACTCCAAACAAATCTTAATTAAGGGTGAATTTTTCCAGCTTACAGATTGTCTCATTGTTAATTGACAGGTAAACACTTCGGGCATGGAGGGAAGTGAACTCTCCTGATACCCGTTTCTTGCCTCACCGGCTCCAGTTCTACCATTCTCCTTTCTGCTGCAGAAATTGTCCACCCAAGGGGGAAAAGGGGCACCGCAGTCTGAGTTCAGATGTTGCCAGCAGAGAGGGCAGTCATGAGTTCTAGGAATTATCATTAAACTCTTCCCATATGGCCAAACTTCAGATATCGAGAAACACTACAGAGTCCAGGTGGAACATAGCAAGAAAAAGTACAGGCTAAGCATAAAAAGGATCATCTTGTAAGTAGTTCTCCATTTCTAGGCCACAGAGCCCAAGGGAGCCCTGAAGTTACTGCAAGAGGCCCATAACTCCTTTCTACTTTAAAAGGTATATTTATATTAGAAAAGATGGACAGCCACTGATTTAGTGTGTGTTATGCAACCACAGCTGTATGCAATGCTATTTCACAGCAATAGAAAAGAAAAATGATGTTTCGAGGTGAAAAATCATGCTGATAGAAACTGAAATTCTTTTCCTTACTTCCTTAACATGCAGAAAATCTTTTGCTTCGAATGAGATGGCCATGCCTGGCACGGGGACATCATCTTCATGGGCCGCGCTGTAGCTAACATTTGTCCGAACTGCAAATGCAACAGGCTTTGTCTAAAGAGGAAAGAAAGAGGGAGGAGAAAGTAAGAAAAGAAACAACAGCGTCCCTCCCTTTTCCCCCAAAATACAAAGATTGACAGAATAACTGTTGTCATTAATCTTTCCCACACTGGTCCTCCAACACAAAGCAACTCATTAGTATTCACAACACATGAAATCTGCCAGCTCTCAGCGACGGACTGCCCATTTCTGAACTAGAAAAAGGCCATTGTTCTCTTCCAAAGCACTACAAGTAATGAAGGTGAAGACGAACCACTGAAATACGTGTTTACCATATAAGAGCGTGTTGGAACTAGACACCAGGAAATACAGACATAAATGAAAGGCCGACTTCTTTTGTTTCCGAGGAGAAGACTTAGTACTCACCCCCCTACCCTAAGTATCTACTTTAATTCATCATTAATGATGTAACTCTAAAAGGTACAATATTTCTAGACGGAAAAACAGCCAGGGAATAAATACATGCTCCAACTGTAACGACGGTTATTCATGGCTGCAGGCTCTTAGTAAAGCAATGACCTTTTATTCTATTACTTTTCCTCCTTGAATTCGCTCAACCACTAATGATGATCACATTAATTAAGCTATGCCTCATTATTTGATGCTTCAGAAATTATCAGATAAGCATCTGTCCTCTATCGAGACAATACCTGTTTATCCACAAGATAAATAATAATAATAATAATAGGTAAGGTCAGAAAAGAAGCACTGTTCTAACAGGTACTGTGTTTCTTTCACACTGCAGGCAAGTACTGACAGATTTCTTCTGAGCAGTTTCTCTCTACTCAGTAAGCCCTTCCTGCTCCCTTTACATGATGGCCAGTGTAGTACAGAGGAAGCCATACACACACGACTGATCAGGGTTCAAGTCCTGGCCCAGCAGCTTGAAGAACATGCTGGGTGTGCACATACCCAAGGTCCTGAGAGAAAGGAGAATTGTAGGAAAAGGATTGTTACATGACCAGGCCCTGTTGTTCTCATTCTCTCTCTCTCTCTCTCTCTCTCTCTCTCTCTCTCTCTCATATTAGACATGAAATGAATTTAAATATTTGAAAGCAAATTCTTGGTATCCACTGCAATTTCGAATGCAAAGAATGATACAGTACAAAATGTACATAAATGGGGCCAGCAGGTGGTATGAAGGTTAAGGCACTGGATACCACATGGCCAGCTTTGTAGTTTGATTTCCAAACCTGGAGGCTTGAGGATCACACTGGCCACGTGTGCATGCATGTGTGCCCAAAATCCCAAGAGGAAAGGGGAAGAGAGGGGAGGAGAGGGGAGGAAAAGGCATTGTTGCATGGGCATCACTGTTGATTTCTCACTTTCCCTCTCTCTCTCTGGTGGACACATGTGCCCTATGGCAAGAACTTTAAATACACACACACACACACACACACACACACACACACAAATAAAAGTTGTACATAGGTCCACCAATGAGACACAGACTTGAAAGCATAATGGTGTTATTTTATTTTTTTTAGAATTATATATATATATATATATATATAAGCTGTAATCCTCAGGACCACAACTATAATAAGATATAATTTTATTTTAATCTAGTTTTTAAAGTAATATTGTATTTTCAAATAGTATACTTTTAATTGACCACTTAATTATCTCGACCATTCACTCATTTTTGACATTTAGATTTATAACTTTTTCTCAATATGTTAAATTTCTTCCTTTTTAATTTTTTAATTTTTTTATTTTTTTGGAGAGGTTTTTGATACAGGGTGTGTGCACTCACCAGAGAGAGCTAGAGAGACAGTGAGAAATCACCCCCTGGCCATGCCACAATCCCTTCTTCTCTATCCTCTTCTCAGGATCTTGGGCACACGCATGCCTGGGCACACGCATGATCTGGGCTATGGGTCCGAGACTCAAACCACGGTCACTACACGGAAGTTAAGCGACATAGCCATTATACTAATTGCTGGTCCCTTAAATTTCTTCTTTAAAAAAATCGGTATTACGTCTTCTATTTAGGGACCAGCAGATGGTGTAATGGTTATGTCACTGGACTCGTATGTAGTTGATCACAGTTCGAGTTCTGGACCTGGTGGCTTAAAACTCTTGCTGGGCACTTGTATGTGATGCCCAAACTCCCAGGAGGAGAATGGAAGAGACAGGCTTGCAGGGTGGCCATCCCCAAGGGGGGGGGTGATTTCTCATTTTCTCTCTGTTTTTGTGTCTCTCGGGTGAGTCCGTGCACCCTATAGCAAAAAATCTCTCTCAAAAAAGAAAAAAAAAGTCTTCTATTAGAATTATTTTCTTAGGATAGATTTTCAGGGTAGTATGAGTAAGCCATGACTTATAAAGACCTTTTTCAACTCTATTCCAAATTACCATCCAAGTGGAAAATGCCATTTTTAACTGCAACCAGTACTATATGATGTGCCTCTTTCTTTTCTTTGTTTTGTTTTAAGTTTTTGCCATATGGCATATGTACTTGCTGGAGAGAGACAGAGAGCGGAAGTGAAAAATCACCCCCTTGGGTGGATGGCCCTAATCACAATCCCTTCTCTTACATTCTCCTCCTGAGATTTTGGGCCCACATGTACCCAGAGTGAATTCCAAGCTGCCAGGTCTGGGACTCAAACAGCAGTCAACCATGTGGAAGTCTAGTGCCTTAGCCACTATACCATCTGCTGGCCCTCACCCTGAAACAAACAAACAAAAATAGCTTGAAGCTTTAAGGGACCATTCCTTAAGGTACATTTGATTTTTATCTCACAACACCATTGTCCATCAGACATATTCTGCTTTAAGAAGACATCTTCATTTTTGACCTAATCTCACTGTGGACAAAGGTCATGTGGCTCTATCATTCAGCACTTTTGTTCTTGCCCCCACTCAGAAATTCACTTTTGGTGTGGACACCTGCCAGATTTTTATGGTTTTCTAGTAGGGTGGCCCCAGGACCTGGTTTGGCTCTTCCCTATTTCACTGCCATGTGGCCCATGATAAAAATTGATGAATATAACTGATTATTTGGATATAAACATTTTGAAAGCCAGTGGCCAATTTATACCTCTCTTCTCCTTTATTTAAGGTAGAGCAATCCTGAGAAACAAAAATAAACAGGATACAAGGAACCTACAGAAGCCTCACAGGAACCCCAGGAGCAGGGGTGAGCCTGGGAACAGACTCATGTAGAGCTCTGGGACATAGCAGGACCTGAGAGGTATTCTGGACCTTGACAGAAGCCAAGCTAGTCCAGACTTCACGACCATAAGTAACAACTAGCTCTGAGAACTGGGTTCTACCCCAGGTCATAGGTTCCCCTCCAAATTGTCCTTTTCTTCTTTCCTCTAACTTCAGGGCCTCCAAGGTTTCTCTGAAAGGCTTGGTCATGTCTAAGGGGAAGGCGAGGAAGAAAGGCAGAAAGCAGATAGAGAAATAATCCAGAGTTCCATACTACAGAATCATCAGGATACTAAGTAGGTTGACAGAAAATATGGCCCTTAATTCCACTTTCATTCAACTCCTTTAATATCCTGAGGACTTTATCCTCAGGTTAGTGTGATAGCTTGAATTTGCTATGGCCGACTCCTACCCAGACTCTCGGCTGACTTGTTTTGTGGTTATGCAGGGCCACACATGTGAGGTGGAGACATACTATTCTACCAGGTTTGGCTTCTCATCCATGCCAAGATATAAAGGAACTTTCTTCCCCTGCTTTGGTATCTTCTGACTGCTATACCATCTGTGCCTTTTAGGCATGTGGAACTAAGTCCACTGCACATTAACCTGTGGACCGAACCTGAACAGATTCCGTGAATTTATCACTAAGTTCCAATTCATAGAAGAGTGGCTTATCTCATTTTACAGCTCATAATGAAAAAGTGCTTTGAAAACACTAAGGCTGAAGGCCACTCTGTAGCTTGGTGATTACGGGAACTGGATCCAACATGGCTGACAATGGTTTGAATCCCAGAACTTTCAGGCCCATGGGTGTACCTGAAAGCCAAAAGGAGGGTGAGACTGAAGATTACAGCATGACTATACCTGAATTGGGGTGGGGAAGGACCTCTTTATCTCCTTTTCTCTCTTTTGGGTGAGTGCACATGCTACAAAACAAAGCCAAACACCAAGGCTGTGTCTTATTCACACATCTCTAATCTATTTTCAAGTAATATTCTTGAGAAGGGAATAAGTAAGCAACACATGCAAAGATATTCTTATTCTCTTCTTCAGGGTCCTTCTTCACCTCGTACATAGCACAAACAACTGAGAGTAAAATGATAAAAGCTACCAACTTGGGAACGTCTGCCCTGTGACAAGCAGTGTCCTAAGAGAGGTGGCTTTCCATATGTCTTCTCCTCTGAAGCCCGAGTTCTTCCTGTCATAACAGACTGACAAAGTACACTGGTCCCAGCTTTAGAGCTTTTAGATGTTTGTATGAAAATTGGAAGATTCCAAGTTAGAGTTTACAAAATGCTGAAGAAATGGTGGTACAGAAAGAGGTAAAAAATAAGGCCCAAGTCTTCCCTGTAGTCACACCAATCTGGCACTTTCACATGCCAGAACTACAAGTATTCCTTATAAGGTCACGTATTTCTACATCTTTTTAGTTAAATCAGCAAACCATTAATAATGTCATGATTGTTTATTTAGATATAACTTTTCCTTCTTCATGTCTTTTTCATATTCTGTGGAGCTATATCTCACATAAAGGAACTGAGATATTAAAATACACCTGATTTCTGGGACCAGCAGACGTGTAATGGTCAAGTCACTGGACTCCCACATAGTCAACCGTGGCTCAAGCCCCAGACCCAGCAGCTTAAACTCACCCTGTGTGCATGTACATGCACGCCCCAAATCCCAAGAGGAAATGGAGGAAAAGGGATTGTGGTGTGGCCATCCTCCTGGGGGGGGGGGTGATTTCTCACTTTCTTTGTCTCTTTGGCAAGCACAGGTGCTCTATAGCAAAATTCTCTTGGGTGGGGTGGGAGGGGGGCCTGGTTTCAGGTCAGCAAGTG